TCCTGTCGAACCTTCTCTTTACATGTTCTGTCATACTACCGCAAAAATACTGCACATGTACAGTGTACTGCATATACAATGTACATTGTATATGCCGGTACATTGTACTTGCAACCTGGAATTAAGTGGCTGCTTTCAATAAAATACATGGATGCAGTGAATGGGATTGTCGGTCTTGGACCATTTTGTGGTGGGTCTGATCTACTCACCTCCCACCGCTTCAGGAGCTGCATCTGCGCCTTGATCCTAGAGGGCGGTGGCGTTCCTGCGGATGCGGAAATCTCCGTCTCCAACTGAGTGACCGCGTCTCACGTGAACCGTGACATTTTTTCAATAAAGGACAGTGAGGACTCATAAGGCGACTCTTTAAAGTTCTCAACTCAACGCAACGCTAAGACGCAAAGCATACTTTGAAACCAAAATACATGTGCGAGATAAAACATGGACCATGCCAGAAAAGCAGGGTGTAAAAGCAATGACAGAGGACAACACGAACACAAAATGTCCATAGTTACATACCGTTACCGGTACAAGCATACTGTATATGATGGCAAACACTGGATGCTGTAATGGCATATCCGCTGCATTCTGACTTGAGCTGACTCAGCATTTGCCCTTTTGTTGTTGCTGTTGTTTATTTTATTTTATTAAAGGATGGTCCACGCCTCGTACTGCTCTTTTCTCTCCGAAACTCAACACTCGCAAGCCAGATACGAAAGAAAGAAAAGATCTTCAGTCACACCAGGACTCGAACCAGAGAACTCGCTATTCGCGAGCAATGCTCTAACTAACTGAGCTACAGTATGACTCTTATCCACAGTGATGGCAAATCTATCCTTCTTCGATCAATCAATATCTGGCTTGCATCATACAGGCAACTCACACGTTTCGGAGAGAAAAGAGCAGTACGAGGCATGTGGCCTCTAATTTCCTGTTTATAATAGTCCAAATTTGAAATGCTCCTAAAGAAGATGGATGCTTAGATGCATGTACATGTAAGTCTCCTACTTCTTTTCTGCAGGTACCACGGTACATAGCATACCATGTTCATCTCGGATACTCCCTGCTGAGTCTGTGTGCCACTCGACAACGTACGGTGCGTTCTGCGGCTGTATTCAGTCGCCACGGCAACCATTGCGTCCCGTCATAGTCTCTGCCAGTGACGTCAACCGCAGTGTGACGTCACCAGACGGGTATTTGCTGTTCGTGCGGTGCATGGCGGACGCAGCAAACCCTTCCCTGCTAGTGCCGCCCAAGTTTCGCTGCGAGCCAACTCCCACTCCCAAGCGTAAGTACATGTACAATCATGTACATATATGTAGAACTAGAATTTGTAACATGGGAAATTGTGGGCACAAGTTATGCGATCGAGTACACCAACTAAACCAGATTTTGAACAGTCAGACGTGCACAATCTAGCACAAAACTGACAAGGAGTACTGAGACATTCCACGGCATGAACGTCAGCTTGAGCACTACTCAATAGCGCTAACCGACGGCCTTCCAACTTGGAAAGTTCATTGATATTAATGCTAATTCCAAAGATGGGAAGACTAGCGCCATCGAGCCGAGCACAAGCTACATTCCAAGACTTTATGGAATTAGTCCTAATATCACTGAACCTTCCAAGTTGGAAGGCCCTTGGTTAGCGCTATCGAGCAGTGCTCAAGCTGACTTTCATGCCGTGGAATGTCTCAGTACTCCTTGTCAGTTTTGTGCTAGATTGTGCACGTCTGACTGTTCCAAAATCTTGTTTAGTTGGTGGACTCGATCGCATAACTTGTGCCCACAATTTCCATTATTACAATTTTTGTCCTTGGCTCACCATCTGAGAACTAGAATTTGTATTGTACTAGTATTTGAATCCATTGTGTTTGTTTTTGGCGGTAAAAGAGGCTTTTGATACTCTGTAGAACTAGAATTAGTTTCCTTGTTGCATTACAAAGTACATGTACATACGATCGGTTCCAGAGAATGTATTAAAAAAGGAGAAGGGTTGGTGCTGTGGGCGAGACCTCAATCGTCAAAATTTCCGGGCACATGGACATTCTGTGTTGTTCTCTTTTAGCAGTACTTGTAGTGTGTTGAGGGTTTTTTTAGGAAAGTTTCATTATCCATAACACCTCATGTGGTAGCATTGCGCCTGCCAAGGTACAATTTTTATTTTTTTATTTTTTTACTAAACGCCATGCGGTGCACGCAATGGGAACATGCAGCAGCCATGGTGATGGGGGCCAGGCGCTCCGTCGACCAACTGGTCTCGACATCGTCCCGCTCTGGACGCACCAGATAACATTTTTTATTGGAAGTATGACTATGAGGGAAAGAGAAAGAACAGGGGGAGCGGGTGGGGGTAGATTGAGAAAGAGAGTGTACATGTACATGAGAGCGTGTAGTTCAGCAAGTTCATGTAGCAGGTTTACAAGGCGTCGGTTGCTTGCATCCAGTTGCTGGACAACAGGTGATGGTGGACCATCTTCTTGAACTGCAGCAACCCGTCCTTGTATGGCTGCTGTGCGAGGATTCTCCGAGGCAGGGAGTTCCATGCGCTCAGCACGCAAGCAGGGAAAGTCTTGGCCATGGTTGAGCGGGAACGGCGAGGTAGGCTACATGCCAAGGGAAAGTCGTGTGACTGGCGTCGCTGGGCGGAGAGACGGGTGTTGGGGGTTTCATCCGCCAGCTGGAGTGGTTTGGGCATAATCGCTTTCAAGGGGCTCGTCGGTGGAAGGAAGCAGAGCTTGTACAGGAGGCTCAGGGCCGCCACCCTGCGCGTATGCTCCAGGCTTGGTACGGAGACTCCAGGGCCTATCAGCTTTAGTGCCCTGCGTTGTACTGCGTCCAGGCGGGCCAGTGGAGCCCCCATCCAGACCAGGCAGCAGTACTCCATGGTTGGCTGTATGAAGCCGTTGTAAACAGCAATACGGCCAGGTGCTGTCAGAAGTGGCGCCACCTTCCGGAGAAAGTGGAGGCGTTGGAGGGCCCTGGTGGCAACCTGGTGTATGTGGGCCGAGAATCGCAGCCAATGCACCAATAGATATCATCGTTGTAGGATACAGTCTACAATCAGGGCCAGTCAGGACAGCTTTAAAACAGTCCATTCACCAGGTGCACAGTAGTACATGTATACACGGATACAGGAGATGGAAGGCTATTTCGCTACTAGCACATTACCATACCATCTCCAGTGGGCTAATTCCGTGCCTGGTACAAGATCTCACCCATCGCGGGACTTTCAAAGTGGCGCGTAATAATTTACATGTAGAGTATGGGGACACGGGCTCTTGGGGAAGAGCACCAATCGGAAATGTAGCTACTTTAGCTGAGACGATTTGCCATTGTTCATCGTATACGCTATTAGTAACATGGAATATGGCAACTTAGCCAATTAGGCCAATTGTAAAACTTCAACCATAAAAGGTAAGGATCCACACGCCAGAGTTGGAACAAGATAAGAGAGAACACATTCACGGAGCTCAGAATGGCCACAAAGCACTTTCGAACACTTGCGCCGTATATCATGGCCTGTCTTTGGGAAGATGCCCCTTGAAATGGTCTGAAAATGCCGCCGACTTCGAAGGTAAACATCTTGTTCCGGAATGTGACAATCTGCAAAGAAAGCGCTGACGACTCGCGACTTAGCGTACCTACTTCAAAGCCCTTTTGGAATTTTGGATTGTAAACGACCATAAACGTTGTGACGGAAATATGTCACAAGTGAAATTAAAAAGAGAGGACCAAAGGTTTACAAGTTTTCAGTTTTGTGCTAATTGTTGCACGTTTTGACTCACCCGAATCGTGCTTATACATGGCACTGTTAGTGCTGGACAAAAAAACGGATAACTTGATAAACCTTTGCTCCTCTCTTTAGTGTAACTTGTAGTTCCTTGGTCCTTTTTATTTTCTATAAATTAATCCTTGGCTGTCCATCCGAGTCCATTCCTCCCTTTTTACTTGTAATTTTAGTCCTTGGCCCTCCATCCCAGTCTCATCTGCACACGTCCATCGTAATATTGTACATGTTCAGGTGGTATTGGTACAAGTCCTCTACAAAATGTGTATGTAGATGGACATGTACATCTGTGCTTGTACTACGTCTATTCACATATTGGGTTGGTAGTGACTCAAAAATAGACTTGGTTCATACATGTAGTAGGGACCGGCGGATTCTGCTCGAAAAGGTGGCAGATTCTGCTCGAAAAGCAGTAAAATTGGCAGAACCATACAAACCTTATGGCGGGCAATTCCTCGAATTCTGCTCCATTTCTTTATCCACGTACCAAACTCGCATGAAACTTACCAGAAAAAGTACCGAATTCTGCCAATTTTTCTGCCGGCAGAATCCGCTGGACCCTAGTTCATAGTCTGTGCACTGTGTACCGTTTTGCTCAAAGGAACACTCTTCTCTTGTACATCCAATGTCCGGACAGTGGACGAAGTCAACCGCGCAGACACGAATGAAAGCGTAGAAGCGATAAGAAAGTAAAGATCGTATGGGCACAATCTTGGTGTTGCTGGCACGAACTCTGGGGGGAAGGGCGTGTGAATGACAGCATTCGCAGCATCGGATAGACTCAATCGGTAGCAGAGGGGTCACTAACGTTTCCGTTCAGCTAGTAAACATCCGCTGAGATACACATACACATACCATTATGTACATGTGCTTCAGCGTCCACATCAATACCACACTATTCATCTTGGCTGCGATGTAAGAAGACGTTAGGGTCTGTTGGGAATGCCCAAGTAAAGTTATAAAAGACAGTACAACGACTAAATACCACACTAAAATAATATCAAGAGTGCATTGGGTATCAAGAGTGCATTGGGTATCAAGAGTGCATTGGGTATCAAGAGTGCATTGGGTATCAAGAGTGCATTGGGTATCAAGAGTGCATTAACATTTGATGTACTATTGGTAATATGCCTGTACCCTATTGGCGCGGTGTTTGATCACAGCTCGGCGGTGTATCTTCTCTGCTGAAACTCTGCCACAAGCCATAAGAATGTCCCAAGACATGCTGATCTTCGACTCAGGTTCCAGTGTGGCCCAGAACGAGTCCTACCCGTCTGGAACGAAGTTGAGCATTTCTGCTTGCAAGTACCCGTGGACACTACAGCGTGTACGCACTAGTGTTGATCCTGTTCTGACTTGTGTGGATGGACAGTGGACATCATATGGACATGGATCACCGCTATGCCAAGGTGAGTAATAATAAAATAAAGCTGATGATGAATAGAATAAGCGATTTGGACGGTTGAAGTAGACGAAGTCGGTGGCTTCTTGCCGAACCATTCTGGCAGGTTTTTATTTTATTTATTTTTTACTAAATACCACAGTACCATCGGATGCTGCACAGCGGGGGCGGTGGCATATTGGATGGAAGTGGGGCGGGGCAAAAGGAACTCCTCCGACCAAAGGTCTCGGAATTACTCCTGTGCGCCGATACATAGGAGAAAAGAAACATGTGCATCCAAGAGAGAAGCACCGGCTTTGCAAACGATGATGGGGAGAATTTGAGATTGAGATAGGACAAAACAATAGTAAAAGCAGTGCACCGTAGGAAGATGGAGAGAACTGATAATCGGATTTTAAGGCTGAGCGAAGGGGATCAAAGAGGGGTAGAAGGGAGCTGGAGTGTGGTCAGTATAATTAGGCTGGTATGTTGGCTGCGATGGAGAGATCGTAGCCTGTCTGTGGCCCACTCCCACTTGCTGCGCCGCAAGTGGTCATTGACATTTTTCTTGAACGTATGCATACCTCTGCGAGAAGGGGGAGACTGCAGAAGGGTAGGTGGGAGCTGATTCCACGTTGCGATGAGGGAGTGGGGAAATGAGCGGAGCGTGTTGTTTCGTGACTGAGGAGGAAGAATACTGGTGAGTTGTGATGGATGATGTGTTGCAGATCTGTTGTCGCACGAGTAGACATGCAGCATTGCGGTGCGGCTGCTGATGGTGGCAGAATGGCTATCACCATTTCCGGACCCTCCACAAAGTGCAGCTTGTACAGAAAGCAGAGCCCTGCTACGGTACGGCGAATGTCGAGGCTCGGGAGGTATGATCCACCTCCAATTATGTGCAGGGCACGGCGCTGGATGGCAGTGAGGTGGGCCAAGGTGGTGGAGGCTGCGCTCATCCACACCAGCATGTCATACTCTAACACAGGGCGGACAAAGCCACGGTACACGATTGCCCGGTGCTTTGGGTCTAGCACAGCCGATGCCTTACGGAGGAAGCCGAGCCGCTGGGCTCCGCGTACTGCAAGCTGTCGGATATGGCTGCGGAATGCCAGCTGCCTGTCGAAGGTGACGGCAAGAAGCTTGACCTCCTCTACTTCTGTTGCGACTGCTCCTGGGAAGCGTATTGCGTTCGGGGGGGGGGGGGGGGGGTAGCGAGCGGTGGTGGCTGATGGTCAATGCCTGCGACTTTGTGGGCTCAGAGTCAAACTTGATCTTCCATCTGCTCCCCCATGCTGCCAGTGAGTCTACTGCCTGCTGGAGGATTGCTGTCTCTTCTGGCAGTCTGAGTCGGGTGGTGATGCACTTGTAGAGAGTTGTGTCGTCGGCGTATACAGCCAGCTTCGCCCCATCAGGCAGGTGGTCTTCTGCGTCGTTGACGTACAGAAGGAAGAGGGTGGGGCCGAGGATGCTGCCCTGCGGCACGCCAGATTGGATTCGGTCCGTCGGTGAAGACTGGCCGCCTATGACGACACGGACGTGGTGGTCTGTCAGGTAGGAGCCAGCCAAGGAGGAGGCCACTTATGCCGCATCGCTCAGCCTTGTGGAGGACGCCGTTGTGCGAGACCTTGTCGAAGGCCCCGGCAATATCTACTGCGAGTACCCTGACGAGGCCTTCACCGGCAGCTGCAAGGCTCCACTCATGCTGAAGAGCAATCAGCAGATCATTTCCCCAGTCCAGTGCGAAAGCCAAACTGCCTGTGAGAAAAGATGTCCTTCTTCTTCAGGAAGTTGGACAGGCTGCGGTTCACGATGGACTCCATACACTTAGACATTATGGGCAGTAGCCAGTAGTGATATCGGTCGGTAGTTTCGGGGGTTCGACTTGGGGCCTTTCTTGTGCACCGGTACGACGTTGGCAACTTTCCACATGGCAGGTTGATGACCACTGCAGAAGCACAGGGTAAACAGCTTGGATAGGGGCAGCGCCAGAGAGTCGGCACATTTTCTCAGCACTCTAGCGGGTACTGCATCAGGCCCTGTGGCTTTACTTGGATTCAGGTAGCGGGACCTTGCATTGGCAGATTCAACCAGCTTCTCGTCTGCTTCGCATGGAAATCTGAAGCTTGGCAGGAAGCGTTCCTCCCAGTAGAAGCAAGAAGACTCGTCTACTATTACCACCGAAGTCGCTACTCAGTCTCAGTTCGTACCCATTTTGTAAACGGCGCTTTCGCTGACTTGGTTCGCGAATACCGTTGAACACTAATCCTTGGAAGTACAATGTAGGTAAAATGGATAAATCGGAGTGCAATGTACCGTCATATTTGATCACCAGTTTGTACTCTCCACAACGATGTTACAAGCTTTCACAAAAACATTGTTTTGTGTACAGTTTCGATTAGTGGGACCATTGTTATTAGGCTAGGGCCTGTTTTGGACTTCCCACTCTAAATAAAGAATACAAACAAACAACAGTACTAAAATTCTAACGATGGTCGCCAGACGGAAAGTCTGACAAAATCACCGGGTTGGGTGTGATAATGCACTGCCTACTGTGGGCGAGTTGCTTGCAAACGGATTACGAGATTCGATACTGTGATGTATTAGGTGGTGGTACTGTGTCGGCAATCATTTCCTCCCATGCAGCATGTCGGCTGGATGCCCAAGGACAAGACTATGCCGCAAAAAGACACCTTGTCGTGGAGAGCAACGCCACAGCTTACGCAATTGGGTCCAACCTGCAACTGAAATGCAAGAAACACTTCGTTCAACATGGTGACGTGAACGTCCCTTGCTATCGACGTCCCGAGGACAACACGGCCGTATTTGGACAGTTTCCCAGATGCGAACGTAAGCTTAAATGTGTCTATAGATAGGTTCAAACTAGTATGTAGGCGCCTTCATCGGAACCATGGATTAGTTGCATACTTTGAGTATCTTGTAAGGACTGTTCCGAAAGGTCCAAGAGCGCTCAACATCCTGATGTGGAGGCTTCCGTACAGACTTTAGGGCGAGAGGAAACTTGGAATGGCAACTCAGCTTTTAAAATAATACAGACAGCAATGGCATGGACATACATGTGCAGCTCATGATGCCCTGTTGTACCAAGCTCGCTGTGTTTCTCGCAGTTAGAGCACACCACTTTGATCGGTTCGGCCAGTAACTCGGAGCTCCGCTGACGAGATCTAACAAGATCGAAACAGCTTTAGCTGTCCGGAGATTGCGCAGGTCATGATGTGGCTGTTGGAGATACAGAAAACAATCTAGACCTCATCATTGCACAGTGCTTTCTCAAGACGTGGGTTTGTGCATTGAACGTCTTACATGTTTTGTCTTCATTCCTTGTCCCGTGCAACAGAGATCCTGTGCGATATGACGGATATCTCGAGACTCGGTATGACGACGGTGACTGGTCGCAGGATGAGAGGATTCGTTCGTGTCGGCAAGACGGTGAACATCACCTGCTCCAGTCCGATTACGACGCTGTCACGTGACCAGTATCATCACCACCCGCATGCTACTGGGCAGCGTCTGCGTCACCATGGCAAAAACATGGAGGTGACCTGCTTTCCACAGCATCACGTGACAGGCAATGGCACTGCGCAGAACTGGCTGGGAAGGTTTCTGGTGTCGTCCCCGAACGAAGCAGAAGAAAACAGTCTGAACGCTGCTGCTATGGTGATGAATTGCCCATAACTTCAAGAAGGAGCAATCCTCGTCTTGTCTGCATACTACATGTACATGTACATGTATCTGCTGGTGACATTCGTCCTAAAATTGACCCCGCTTGTTTTTCATGATCCATTGCTTATTGCCTCCCCGGGTAATTTCCATCTAGCTGTGTCTGGCTAGTATCAGTTCTATCACACTTATCAATCTTCCTTACTAGAGAGGTTGCGCACAACGAAAATTCGTAGCACCGTAAGGAATTGTTTTAAAGAAAGAAGCTATCGAATATTCGTAAAGAAAGGAAAAGGATAAAATGTTACGAGTTATGACAAACTGTCCATCAACGTAACCAGATCTTATACAGTCAGCGATTTGTCGCACTCGCTGACTGTATAAGATCTGGTTACGTTGGTGGACAGTTTGTCATAACTCGTAACGTTTTGTCCTTTTCCTTTCTTCATCATAACTATTATTGGCTCACCATCCGAGTTCAAATATTCGTAAACCGTGAGGCTGCGCACAACGCGTGAACTTTTTCGTACTGGGTCAACGCGGCGGCCGCGCGGGTGCGAAGAGTCAAGACAGGGCCTAGGGAGTTGTAACTCCAGGTAACGAAACAATTCATCATCATAATTATATCAGCTCTGTTTCGGTCGCGTTTGGACGGATCTTCGTAGCAACTTTCGTTACTTAAACCCGAACAGTCATAATCTAACGAATTTTCGTTGTGCGCAACCTCTCTATTGCCGGCGCCGTATTGGCGTCACGCCATCGTGGATTAAAAGAATAAAATAAAATAAATTCACGGTTCGCGTGAGACTCGGCTGGAAGCCGGGCTTTCCGCATCCGTAGGAACGCCACCACCCTTCAAGGATCAAGGCGCAGACGCAGCTCCTAAAGCGGTGGGAGGTGAGTAGATCAGCTCACCAGCAAGTGGTCAAAGACCGAAAATCCCATTCACTGCATCCATGTTTTCCTCGTGCCAGGCCACGAGTTCCCAAATAACTGTGGGTCGCAGCACGGCTGGAAAAAAATCCTTCTGCTTCCAAGCAGGACTTGAACCTGGTACCCTCTGTTTCTCAATCATGATCTTAGACCATCCCACTATGCCTGCCTGCATCCCACTATGCCTGCCTGAATAAGAATAATAAATAATAAAATTCGTGCAGAAGAACGACTCTCTCTCTCTCTTCTCTATGATCGTACACCACGCCGATGTCCATTCCGATCACCATAGCTCTCATTGTGCAGCCGTCTGAAAATGCACAGGCGTGCACATACATTAGACTGTAGCTGCTCTCCAGTCTCTTCGTCGTTTAGCTATCCATTGCCATTGGCTACCGCACCGCGTGGAGTTGCCGCAGTAGAGTTACAATTGCTGTTGTGGAGGAATTCCTTGACGTTTCCAAGCGGCATGACGCATGTGCGGCCAATCTATCTGTATGTGTCACCAACGCAATCTGCGGACCGAACTGCTTCGTCCTTTGTGGACCCATCAGGGTAGCACAGAGAAAATGAGGCCGAACCTGGTAGCAATGAAAAACTCATTTTCGAAAGCCAAATTTAAACCAGGCCCGAACGTACGTTGCGAGTATCTGTCCCCATGTGGAAGGTACAAGTACATATACATGTACATGTACCTACATTATAGATCCTACTCATTGATGTACATGTACATGACATGTATAATTTGTTGTTCACTTGCACTGGTTGGACATTGCCTCTTTCCTTTACACATTTTGATGCTGAGATTATCTATAATATGAAGGTGCGGTGATATCACTGCTAGCAATAATTCCGAGTCGCCACCCATCGCAACCCTCACTCGCTCCCTCCCTTAGCTGTAACTTCAAGTTTGTGTGTGTATTTGCTTGATTATATTATTTATATGCTCTTCCTTGACTGCGTTCGCTCTGCGAGCATGATAAATCCCATTCTACTCACCTCCACGCGGCTTTAGTTAATCTGTTCGTGGTTAAGACGTAGCCTCGACCGTTTTCCCCGAAGTGCCTTCAGGAAAGGCCATTGGCTTTGGTACATGAAAGAAAATGATGCAAGGCTCAGTCGCTGTGTTTCTTTCAGTTTCAGTACATGTAAGTGCACTCTGACTTTGATGCTTTTAGCTGGTGTACATGTAGAGTGGGAATGCTTTGTTCTTCACTGGGCTTCATTGTGATCGGTTTGGTCAGTGATTCTGAGTCCGCTGGGAAAACCCATGGTCAAAACCCTGCCCGGAGATTGAGTATGTCACAGTGACTGATGAAATTAAAATTTTATTCCCTAGTGAGTACTAGTGGAGAAGGTGTTCAGGTTTACAAAGTGTCCCATCCTCCTGTCCGGTGCAGGTGTACCGTGTGACAGCCAGTGTGAGACAGGCAGTCATGTGACAGGCAGTCATGAGACAGGCAGTCATGAGACAGGCAGTCATGAGACAGGCAGTCATGGATTGAGCATAATATTATTGAGATACATGTACATTGTACGTGTTCAAGTAAATGAGGGCGTATTTGTTTTGACATTCTGATCATAGTCCGCGCACCAATGACAGCTGATATCCGCTAGAGGGCTTACAAGAGCCTCATCATCTCCACCACTGAGACGCCAATTCTATCCCTCAAGCGGATGCATATGGCTCTTCGTGCTAGAGTCTTGAGGTCTAGGTGTTCTATGAGTGCTTTTCAAGTCACTACAACAATGAAGACCAGCAATGTAACCGAGTTGAACAGTGTGATGGACATGATAACCGTTGATTGGTTTCCGTTAGTGATAGTATCAGGATTTTTCCCGTAACATCTGTTGGCTCCTGTGCGGCAGCACTTCATCCTGCATTGCGTTGTACGGATTTTTTTAAGGACTCCGAAGTTGAGTGGAGTGACGGGACACCGTCCAATTGTGTACCACTTGGCAGGAGAAAGTAATTTCCTGTTGCTTTTCCTGAGATACGCAAAATTTGGATTGTGTTTGATGCAAGGTGTTATAGCAACAGTAACACATTAACCCTGAATTGTACACGATTGTACGGTCGACATGGAATCATCACTTTCTGACTGACTGCGAATTTCGCAGCTGAAGAAAGAGAAGATAGATAGATAGAGATAGAGATAGAGAGAGAGAGAGAGAGAGAGAGAGAGAGAGAGAGAGAGAGAGAGACAGAGAGAGGGAGAGACAGAGAGAGAGAGAGAGAGAGAGAGAGAGAGAGAGAGAGAGAGAGAGAGAGAGAGAGAGAGAGAGAGAGAGAGAGAGAGAGAGAGAGAGAGAGAGAGAGAGAGAGAGAGAGAGAGAGAGAGAGAGAGAGAGAGAGAGAGAGAGAGAGAGAGAGAGAGAGAGAGAGAGAGAGAGAGAGAGAGAGAGAGAGAGAGAGAGAGAGAGAGAGAGAGAGAGATAGATAGATAGATAGATAGATAGATAGATAGAGAGAGAGAGAGAGAGAGAGAGAGAGAGAGAGAGAGAGAGAGAGAGAGAGAGAGAGAGAGAGAGAGAGAGAGAGAGAGAGAGAGAGAGAGAGCTGTGTTACAACTCCGAGTTCCGCGTAGTCACGATCATCAGGCAATCATTAAATATCATTCCTGAGTCTTTATTCTACTGTACGGGTATTGTTTCGATGCAACATGGAAAATGAGTATGCACGTGACTGCGAAGTAGTGAACTTCAACAGAATAATCATGTCTAGTATCTCAACTGCAACTGTTGGGCATATCGGTGAACCTCCTTGCCAAGATGTTCTCAACAAATCCCAAGTTTTTCAAAATTTCACCAAGCCCAAGGCACACACGAACGCGTTTTTCAACAGATGGGGACGCGATGGTTACCAACGAAATCAGAAAGGATAATGATAATTATATTTTATGTTTGCTGCATGTACATAGTGCGTGTATATGATTAGTACGTATACATGTACTGAGTACCGGGGTGTACTGAGTACCGGGGTGTACTGAGTACCGGTATATGGAAGCAACACAAGTTTGCAATGGCCGAAAAAGGTAAAGATGATGCGTAACTCCGCAAGGAACAAGTTAAAGAGCTGAAGGAATACAGTCATGTACAAGTGTGAGCAGTCTCTAGTGCGAGTACTGCTAGTCTCTATTGATAAAGAGCCAAATGAGAACCGTTTGAGAGTGTTCTGTTGCAGAGTCTAGCCTAGTGGTTGCAGCAGCAGCGTAGTTGAAGGATTATGCTGAGCATGGGCATGAGCGTATTAAAAACTCGCAGCAGGTTTGTTTGTTTGTTTGTATACTTTATTAAGTTTATTTGAATGGCAGGTATGTTCTGTTGTATAATTATAATGTCACGTCTAATGTCAGGTCTAAGCATAAATGTCTGGAGCGCAATTGGCAATAATCCCAGCTTTGTACACCCCACCCCGTCTTTTATGCGCATTGCACAATAAATAATTCATATTCCAGGTCTCGACGGCTGTCTTTTTTGTTGTTGAATAAATATGGAGTAATCTCTACACGGATAAATATGTATAGGGCATAAGCGCAGAAAAATACATTAGACGAGGAACATGGTTGAGAAACTCTTATGTGAATGTATAGTCCGTACTGGACTGCACAGCTGGTCGCTATCTGCAATTCATGCTCCTGGAGGCAGCTCTCAGGCTGCTTTCCTCTGCTTCGTTCGGTGACGCCACCAGAAACCTTCCCACCCAGTTCAACTGGCCGTCGTGGTCAGTGGCGTGCAGTGGCGGAAAGCAGGTGGCCACCATTTTCTTGCCATGGTAACGCAGTTGATTGCTTCCATGGTGACCGTGGTGTTGCTGGTCCCGAGAGGCCGGTGCACGTCTTGGCTTGGCGCAGGTGATGTTGACAGACTTGCCCACGCGAATAAATCCTCTCGACCTGTGCCCATTTATGGCTCTCATGCCCAGTCGGGAGAGGTCTGTCATGTCACACATCATCTCTGTATAGCGAAACAAAATCAAGAAGCATTTCAACGTCATCTGATGATCTTTACCAAGAACAATAATAATATTCGCGGGGTTCGCGTCAGGGTTATCTTGAATGTTCAGAAACACAGAAACTAGCCTTTGCATCATGGGTCGCAGGCCACCGCTATGCTTGTTCACCTTAGTGGCGAAAGCAGACCTCACAAGTGAGTCAGGGGAGAGGGGGCGAGTCTCTCAACCATCTTTACTACTCTCGCAAGTCGTACGATCGAGGTTGAAACCTTTTTTGTCGGAGACTTACATGATGTGATTGTATTGATGTCAGGCATACTCAGTGGGGTGGTCTAATCCACGGCGCCTTTCGTGGACTGATCATTCTACCTGCATGGTGAGATGGCGTCATTGCCTGTTCGCTTCATGATGTGGAATAGCGAAAACCACCGCACTATGCATGCCAAGTTCGTCGCCGAAAATCGAAGAGCTATACATGTGTGTGCAGCAGATTGAGCAGACATACCGGTACAATGTAAAACATGACTCCGTGAAAATAGTTCAAATAAAGTGTGCAAAATTATTTTATCTACTCACGTTCGCATCTAGGAAACTGGCCAAATACCGCCGTGTTATCCTCGGGACGTCGATAGCAAGGAACGTTGACGTCACCATGTTGAACGAAGTGTTTCTTGCATTTCAGTTGCAGGTTGGACCCAATTGCGTAGGCTGTGGCGTTGCTCTCCACGACAAGGTGCCTTTCCTCAGCGTACTCTCGTCCTTGGGCGCTAAGTCTGCATGCTGCGTTGAAAAACACAAACATCAAGATCAGGAACAGACAGAGCACAATGCAACATATATTCAATCATGATGCGGTATTGTTAATAACGACTAGAATGTACATGTACGAGTACGCATGCATGTGTACAATCAACCGTGCAAACAACAACCCTCGATCGGACGTTAGAAAGGTGTTGATCGCCCGTTATTGTTCTCTCCAGGTTGAAAGAGCACAGTCAGATAGTTTTTTGGTGTGAAGATAATTATTGTTGCGAGTTGTGGTATATACCCAGAATACGTGTAGCGTTAGATAGCAGTGATTACTGCAGGCGAAAGGGGGATAATACGAGTACATGCAAAAGCTTTGCTTCATGAGAGCAACTTGATTTTGGGCAATTTCTTGGCTCTGAACTCACCTTGGCATAGCGGTGATCCATGTCCTGATAATGTCCACTGTCCATCCACACAAGTCAGAACAGGATCAACACCAGTGCGTACACGCTGTAGTGTCCACGGTTGTTTGCAACCTGAAATGCTCAACTTCGTTCCAGACGGGTAGGACTCGTTCTGGGCTACACTGGAATCTGAGTCGAAGATCAGCATGTCTTGGGACATTCTTATGGCTTGTGGTAAGGTTTCAGCAGAAAAGGTGCACCGCCGAGCTGTGAAAAAAAAACACCGCACATACAGGTTTTAAAAAGGTATTCTCAGTGCACTATCGATGTTGGTGCTGAAGTACATGACCTACATGTATGTATAATGACTGTGCAAAGAGCATTCATCAACTCCAATACGTCATGTCCATGAGACAGGACTGGGGAGAAGGATATTATGGATATGGATATCGCTGGCTAAATCTTTCATGTAAACGCAGAAAGGTGCGGAAGAGAACCTACGAACAATGAGGGTACACACCACACGTTTCGGTAGCGTAGTATCACTTCGCTTTCCCACTCCACTTGTTGTCAATAATTTTTATCACCATCGACTGAAGCAGATGGGCTTATGGCTGATGGGATTAGTAGTTTGTGCTTCGGCTGGTGTGCACTGTTACATTCGTCAACGCATTTAACGCCCCGATACAAAGGCGATTATTTATACAATGTAGATGAGAGGATGCACTTCTGAGTCATGTTCAATCGCAAGAGTACCGTTTCAACCTCTCATCAAATGCTCGCCTGGGTGCTGCTGGAGCAGCGGACTGCGGTTCAACTTCAATATTACTGGTGCGCTTTTGGTAGACATTCGACCATCTTTACCAAGGCATTCTCATCACCTTTGCAGGTTTCAATCCCACTAATACATGTATGTGAGTCAGTTGGTACGCAATCATGCGGTGGCGGTTACTTTGCATTCGATTGAGGACTACAGAGGAGGAAGATTTCCCAATAATACACCCAACAACCTGCGGGGAGATTGTAACATATTTCAACATCGACTCTTGAGTCTAGGAAAGGAGCCACTGGCGAAATAGCGACATGATACGAATTCAAAGCAGATGTTGACATTACTGAAGCTAAAAGGCTCAGTGAGTGCTTCACAAAGCTAGAACAATATTTAAGTGTGTTCGTTTCGCCCATATGCAGCACAGTAATTATTTGGGGAAAGGGTTTTTTGTTTGTTTTGGGCGGGGTACAATCTGGGGATGCTGAAGAGGTTTGTGTTGTGACTGTGCCTAAGTGGCACGACACACACGAGCGCTGCAAGAGGAAACACTTTCCGTGCAGCTAGTCACACTGCTGTGTACGGAGCAGGGGCATTGTGAGTAGAAAACAGATACAAAAATAGAAATTCTACTATACACGTACATGTAGTAGCGCACATAATTATTATAAACTCAGCTCAAGAAGGCGCAGCCAAAAGAATAGAAGCCGCAGGATCTATTGTTGTTTTTGGGCTGGTCTTGGGAGGGCGTTCCACAACACACTAGCCCGTGTATAGTGCTAGTGCGTGGAGGAGCAGAGCCACATGCACTACTCATGTACTCATGTAGATAGTAGGCATGGTCTCTGTACAGAAGTCAAGAATATCAAAAACCAGGTAGGGCCAAATTTGGGCATAGTGCGCACCCAGCACAGAAAGGCGTGAAGTGCTCGAGTAAACAGAAACAAATTGTTCTTTCAAGATCGTGAACACGTTACTACTACGCCATGTGAACAATGCTGCTTGGTTTTACAGCTTGAAAGATGTCGTGCGTGCGTCCACTGGTGGACTCATATCGAGAAATGCTTGTAACGAAGTTAGCTGCTCATCCATGCCCCGATACTTGATCACTTACTGGCCGCACTTTCCTGTGCTAGCTTTTGCATCCGGGTCCGTTTCAATCGTATTATCTCACTACAATGTATATGGAGTGAAGCATCGGTATCTATTGCTAAAGACTGACAATCTCTCAGGATAATGAAGTAGAAGGTTTATCCATGTATCCCTGTTGATCGTTTGTTTTCTTCGATTGTTTAGCCCTTTGAACTGGGATAACTCAGCCATCTTCCGTCACAAGGCACTGTAAAATCGTCCATTTGTATAATAATTGCCTGAGCTACTGTGACGTCATGCCAGTGTGATAGGCACCACGTCAGCAATCAGTATCAGCAAGAGTAGGCGACATGGTTATTGTGCTCTTGGCATCCGTAAGGAGAGATTGCTATACACATGGCTCGTGTACAGGAGCAGTGAAGGGAGACTAAAGCGTTATTGCACTTACTCAAAGTCCGTGCATGGCACGTATTCCTGTACTTGTACATGTACATGTACTTCGAGTACATTTACATGTGCATGTCAATCTCAAACATACAACCATCTACATAATTGACTGTACATTGTATTCCGAATTTCGGATAGCACACTGGCTTACGTTCAGGAGGCGTGATGGGCTCGCAGCGGAATTCCGGTAGCAATTGTAGAGATGACTTTGCTGTGTTCGCTGTGCACCGAACGATCAGAAAATACCCGTCAGGCGACATGAGAGTGCTGTTGACGTCTTCGGCAGAGACCAGCACGGGGCGTAGAGGCTGTTGTGGCAATTGCCTGCACCCGCAGACCATGCCATAGCTGTTTGGCTGACAAACGGCGTTCGTAGGAAATATCTTGGTGGGGCATCGAATAGCGTGTGTCATATCATCTGCAAGGGAGTATTGTATACACCAGACACATACACACTTCTAGGATTTGCTTTATAGAAAATTACATGAAATAACGACATTGAAACACTTCAACGTCACAAAACCCGCTACACATCCGGTAGACATCAATATTGTTTCGTTTCACAGAACCGATTTTCAGCCGGCTTCCTGGATGGCTACTTAATCCACCAAGGCTTAGCTTAGTCGATATCATGACGTAATCAAACTTGCCTGTTTGTTCTTCGACTCTAAATATACAAACAACAGCAACAACAAGGCTGTACTGCGAATGGTCGCAGCAGGTATCCCCATTAGCACAAAATGAAGCGCTCTTTACGAGGACACATGATCCCCTCCAATACATGTAAACTGTACATCACACATCATAATAATTATGAATTCATCTTCGGACTGTTTGCTCAGGTGAGATCTTTTATGTATGGTACACTGATGGAGTGACCGGCCATGAAACAAGCGCAGAGCGGAACTGGAAGATCTGTCATCGACGTCGTAATGGCACGTAGACATTCATCATGCCATTGTGTGCCGTGTGACACTCGACGTTTTGTGAAGAATGCTCGGCACTCGCACCGTTCTACATGACATTGTAAGGCGCACACAGCTTACGTGACAAAAAAATTAATTCTTTAGGGATCATAATTGTCATGGAGCTGCACAATTTGCGAAGATGCGACGTTGCAGTCAAGTAAGAAAAAACCTTCGTGCATACAGTGTGTATGAAGTTATTCTTTCTGTTAGTGGCACACAGGTCGCAGCAGTGTACTTCAAGTAATAATCAATTGTGACTTCTGCTTCGACCTCTGTTGACTGCCTCGCTGTGTGGCGATCGCCGCGGCATTCATTCGTATTTACCCAGGCTACAGTCGCGGACTACAAACGTTACTTGATGGGAATGCTGACCTATCACCTCCATTCTCTCGTTTTCTTGAAGCTGTACCGGTATGCACGATAACATACCATAGAACTTGGTATACAGTGTAATGGTTTGCACGAATGGATGCGCAATAGTCCGCTACGACGAGTAGTAATCTTCACTGGTTTGAGGGAAACATGCAAACGGGAAATGTGTGAAGAAAAAATTGACTGTTACAAGCAGGACTCGAACCAGGGACCTTCGCTTGAGGCCAGCGATGCTCTAACCACTGAGCTATGGTGTGGCTGTCGTGCCAGAAAGTACTAGCCTGAGTAGTGTCCAAATTGCAAATGATGTGCACGTTGTTCGGTTAGAGTGACGGTTGTAGACTCACAAAGGCCAGGGTGTTACATGTACTGTACCTTGCAACAGACTCAGAGATGAAGGCGTGCGAGTGGCCATTGGCTTTCTGAAGCGCAGGGGAATGTGCTCAATCAGTAAAATATTATCAAGAAAGTGCCCTTCCGTCAAGTACCCCATGTCAGCGCACCAGAAGCAGTTAGCCCTGCTGGTAGCCACATGTGGGTAGTGTAATACTAATACACACTCACATGCTAAACAGTTTCAGTTTTGGTGTCACTGCAACGATTCCGGAGCAGAAGGACGAGAACGTGCAAGATATCTGAGACATGAATCCTGGCCATGCCGAACTTGTTGATTGACAATGTCAACATTTCTGCAGCGCATCAGCCTTAAAAACACGACACGGGCCGTCATGGAAGTATGGTACTTGGGAGTGGTATGCGCACCCGCAGTCGAGGGAGCTCAGATACTATCGCACTGTTAGTTTTGCATCGTGCCTCCACAATAGCTGATTCTCTGTTTGAGTTTTTACTGTACTCAGCGTGTCCATGGACAAACTTGGTAATGTTGTTTTTGCGACGCCCTTTCCAAGATAACACATCACAATGGGACAGCATGTGAGCACAAAGAGACTCTCGATGCCGCTGAACGACGGCTTAGGATTATGACAAGACAATGCACCATGTACGCGACATATTAATTATGTACATGCATCCGCATTCTCTCTTTTCAGCTTTGCGCTGCACTAGCCGCCCTCTACAAATCCTTGGCAGATTATCAGAAGCTACTCCGTCCAATCTTTGCTGCTTTTCCGTTGAGGTCGGTGAAAGTGCTCTCGAATTACTTGTGGCCTACTTTTCATGTTGGGGACACATAATACCCCTCTTGTTGTTCCCCAAGTGTACACACGTACACACACACACACACACACACACACACACACACACACACACACACACACACACACACACACACACACGTACACACACACACACACACACACACACACACACACACACACACACATACATGTACACCCCCCCCACACACACATACATGTACACCCCCCCCCCCCCCCACACACACACACACATACATGTACACCCCCCCCCCCACACACACATACATGTACATGTATAATTATACACACACGCATACAAAAGTAGATACGCGCTGGCACGCCGTGAGGACGCCTCGTTCATGCCACGTGCAATTTGGGGCTTGAAAATGAGGTGGACATCCACGACGTGACAGTCGTTGCGTGGACAATAGAACACAAGACGTCAAGAGCCCTGTTGCTTTGCTGAGTCTACCATAGTAATCTCGAGCGGGTGTGCACGTACATGTACATGTATATGTAGCTCCAGGCCGCTTCTAGCATCGCCTCAGTACTGTGGTATCAATTATCGTCCTCCCTCTCACTTCATTGTATTTACGGCAGAATTTAACATGTGTTCGCTTGATTTTCCGCCACATTAACCTCCTGATATGTACAGTGTATGTAATGTTAAGGATCAGCAGGAGATCTGAAAGTGACAATGTCCACGAATAGCTAGCGTGACTTAGGAAAACAAATTTTCAATTCCGAAAATCCCACTCACACTCGCTTCCACCAGACAACGCGTGTCAGTTTATTTCCGCTTCTACGCTACAGAACGCCGTCACAAAGTGAACATGATTGTACTAGTTTATAATTATGCAGTGTGCGGGGAATACCCCTCCGACTGGGTGGATGTGCGATGCGTCCAAAGGGGATTATGTAGATAGATATAAAACCTTCGAATCCATGGCTGATGCTTGTTGTGTGCCATCCGCGAGGGCCATACAATGTACCAGTACAGTACTTCAAGTACTTGTATAACAAAGTAGGTATTGCATGGCACAGACTGTACTGTTCTCATGCAATCGTAAACACGAAGTGGATAAGCGTCCCACTTATCCTACCACTGATGGTACATTTTTTGTTTTTTTTTGTTTTCAAGGTTTCCTTCTGAGATCCTGTACGCAACACAATGTCAATGGTATGGAGAATCTAGCCAACCTCAACCTTAACCATCCCTTGGACTGGAATTGGGAAATAGAAACCGTGAGACAGACAATGGTTCCTCTTCCTGGAAACCTTGTGTCGCTAAGATGGAAGTCGCGGATTCTTCATAAACTTCGAAACTGGGAAGCGGGGTGAATTATGTGCAGGGTCGTAGATCTACGGTTCCCATCTTCGCAAAACACCCAATGTCTTTGGCCGAAACTGAATGCCCGATAAGTACAGAGTATGAGTATAGAAGGGATCAGACACATTGGACCGACAATCCACCCACTGTACATGTACATTTCGTGCATACATGTGCGTGAACAGCTGTACGTGGTACATGGTACTTGAAGGATAAAGCGTCAACAATCATTTCTCACGTTCTTTCCTGCCCTCAACACGCCAATGTGACGCCATTGCCTTACCCATGAGGGTATACCCGTGCCCACACTAACTTACTATCTATGGAATGACCAGTCTGCTTTTCCTGCCATCCAGTTTCATCCCTCACTTCAACACAGGCAAACAGCCCTTGGCTTGAGGAATCCTTAAATAAATAAATACAAACTGCACTGCATAATCATACAGTAACTGTTGTACATTTTCCCCCAGCAGGCTTTTCATATTGGCTTTCAACCATCATGATCCGAATCTTTCAGACGTCGGCGGAAAAAGACTCTAACCGGAGAATATGAAAAGGAGTGGCAGGTACTATCGCCAATATCAACTGGCTCCATCAAAATTCCAGCACCTGCGCTTCCCGGATACTGGCCGAAATCGTTAACTACTAGTGGAACACTCACGTTGTGAAGGAGATCAGGAAAAGGGGGAAATCCTGGAAGGGTACGGGAAGTGGACCAGTGTATGCATGCATGTATTCTTTTTTTACTTCGCAAAGTCAAACGGGATCGTTGCCCAAAAATGTGAGAGTGTGATCACAATTCCCTGAAGAACGGGTGAACAGAGGGCTATAATATTATTATTGTACTGACATTAAACCCAGAGAGATCCCACTGCCACTGGGCTTACCGTCGTCACTGGCCCTGGACACAGGCGCTGTCTCCGCCGGTCGGCTGAACACGCACACCGCCACCACCACCATCGCCAATAGATACATGTACACCTGCAACATCTTCTTTCGCGTAGCACCCAATTCTCGTAACTGGATTAGGACGTGGAGATTTGAAATCTCAACCACTGACCCAAGGAGAATGAGTTGTGAAAATGATGCGACAAAATGTATGTGGCGTTACCGGAGTGGGAGCGAAATGGCGTATAAGGAAAACAAGTGACCACTACTGATTACCCAACCACAGAAATGTGCGTTAACGTCACAGATACTCAGGGAGGAAAACAGAGGAGGAGAAATGATTCGAAACAGGTGCTAAGGTGCAATGTTATTCCGAGGATGTTTTTCTGCTCTTTATACCCGGCCTGAGCCGCACGGGATCTGTGAAAAGCATTACAAAAGCCACTGACGCGCTTTTGGGGAAAAAAGGCTATTTGGAACGGAAGGGATTTCCCAGCTGGGAAGTGCGATCGGTAGAGAGCATAGCGCGAGTATGCACCAACCTGTCGGGTATACATATACATGTACATGTACGTATTCTCGCATTGCGGCATTGCATTGCTTCGCGACACAATGGCGATTGATGATTCACTGCATGCAAACGGCTGCACTGTGCACTTCAGGGTCCTGGCGAGGGTCACCGCTCCGGATTGTGATTGACGGGACAGCGATTGGTCTACACCATCTCAGCAGTGTGCCCCAGAGATACTCCGTAGCCGCTGTAGTATGTAGAGTCAGGAACTCCACTCTCACCCTCACCCTGCCGTGTCCGGGGCTACCGTCCACTATGCAGGACTCGTCGGTGAGCGGGACAATTTCCGTTTCCACGTGCCTAGACTGGCAGTGATTGGCCCAGTGGTGTACGCTATCCGGAACGTTGGTATCAGTGATGGAGTGATGGTCCTGACAGAGGACGACTAGCTAGGTCAATGTGGGCGTAAGCCAGTTCTAAGGTGCCTGGACAAGTTCACTCCTGTCTGTGTGAGGTAGCTATCCTAAAAAAAAAACAGGTTTGCTACACTGCATCCATGTGCATACCGGAAGCCAGATTGGACACCTTCACTCACACACGCTGCACACCCCACAATGCTTCGTGCAACATCTACATCTACATGACTGTAGTTGTGTTACGTGTATGTGTACATGTACATGTATGTATGCGTTCTGCCTTGCACAGTCTGTTTCTCTAGCTCTGCGCAGAGAGAGGCTATTATCCGTATTGATGCCAGCAGTGCGTGTCCTGACTTGCGTGGCACTAGAATCTGATATCTACTCTCATTGTATGCAATGTTGTCTATACACTTAAGTCTTTGGCTAGGGATGACTCATCGATCCCTGATCCAATGCCACTCTCCGATCATGCCACACTTCACTTGCGCGGGTGTTTTCCTGTGATGCCTCTTGAAACTTGAATCGCCTGCTACTGCACAAGCTGAACGCACTGCAAGAGCAAACACCCAACACTAGCCAACACTAGGCAACAGTACATGTACCCACTGTATCCTAGAAGGCTAGAACTGCACCCGTACAGGATGTACGTGATCCCCAGTCGCTTGATCCGGGCGACAGCGGCCCAGACGAATTCCCCTGATGATCTAAGTTTGATATCAAACATCCATCTCATTCTGACATGTACATGTACATGTACATCGAGACCTCGTAGTCGTACATCCGCCGCATGCACTGACTCAGTACGGCAGTAGGGAGTGTGTGTGTGTGTGTACATGATTGTATACCCAAGCTGAAGCCGTTTGGCTCAGGTGTTGTCCACTATCCAGGAGCAATGCAATCATGTATTGTTAATGTTATGAACATACACCTGGGAATGTGAATGAATGTGAGATTGAGAGTGTGTACAGCATTCTCTACTACTGACCTGTACTGGCTGTACTGTAGCCTAGGCCAAGGTGATGTAGTCGATTTACAATGTACATGTGTATGACTGTATACATACAATCATGCACACTGTAGTCTAGATAAATATTGGGTGTACTACTGTACTAACTACTATCACGCCACTGGCACTGTGTAGGGCATTGCCACACTGTCTGTCACACTGTTACAGTCAACTCACCCTGTTGACTACAGACTACAGTGCGGCTGCTGTTCCGGGTAGAATATCTACTAGCAAGAGTACGTATGGGGTTATGTAGTATGTACTCTTGCTACTAGGGATGCAGACTGCCACTCAGCATGGTTAGGATCAAGGAGTAGTAAAATACCGATATTCTACCACTCCCTGGTTAGGGTTATCAGAATGCTGTGACTTGCTCTGCCGGGTGCCGTGGTGGATCGATCACGAACGATTCTGACACCACCAGGAAGATAATTATGCTGATGGTGTGCGAATCGTACTAGCTTATGCAAACTCACGCAATAAACATGCAACCTCACGCAAGAACCGTATTCTCAGTAATGTCGCGTGGTTGGTGCCACCAATTAACGCACTCCTTTTCGTGCCTTGAATACTTCCCATATCTCCTGGAGGTTCTGATGTTGTCCACTCGGATAAACTTCGTCCTTTCAGCACACGAAGCACAGAATCCATAATACAATAGTTTCGACTAGGCCTTTCGTACCATTACTTTTCAAGACGAATACAATGCCTTCGTCCTTTCTGCGATTTCATGTGATATAACGCGAAGAAAGCTCGTCATGCACACCCTTGACATGCACATGAACAATGAGTAGCACTTCTGCGCGTCCAAGTGCTCATCTTCGAATGCAGTGTTGATCAGTACTCAGCACGTGATCATGACGTTCCATGCAAATCCAAGTCAGTAAGTTACAGTTGGTACAGATGATGCCTGTCGTCTGCGTAATAGCACGTGGAAGTTAGTTGCACGTCAAGACGATGGTCCTCAGAGGACAACAGTTACTGTCCTGGCTGTGCTCTGTGTTTAATAGCCCTTGGGTAATCCTGAAATAAAGGGTATCACTGTATTATTAAAAATTATTATGATGTATTCACATTTAGCACAATGTGGAGTTGGAACGGCCGGTTGAATTCACGTTGCTAAGAAGAATGTTATGCACTCGGGAAT